TGTATGTGATATTTAGATGGTGTATGTGATATTTGAGTGTTGCTTGTGACATTTGTTGTATATACGTGACACACATCTGTAATTTGTGATATTTGGCTGTAATTTGTTGATAGTGAATGTGCTTATTTGTCACATGGTTATAATTTGTTTATACGTGACACATGGTTGTAATTTGTTGTATGTGATATTTAGATCTAATAGAGTAATAGAGTATTGTTTGTGACATTTGTTGTTTATACGTGATATTTGGGTGTTATATGTGATATTGGGTATTATATGTGAGAGGTTGCTGGTTTATGATTATTTCCCTAATGGGAGCCTCTTCTTTTTGACTCATGGTATGTGCATTTAAATCTTTGGTTTTTTTATATTTCGGTTGATATTAGTTTTGGGGTGCATGAATTCATGGTATGTGCATTTAAATCTTTGGTTTTTTTATATTTCGGTTGATATTAGTTTTGGGGTGCATGAATGTGTGTTTGATTTCTACTTATAGGGTTTCGGTTGATATTAGTTTTGGGGTGCATGAATGTGTGTTTGATTTCTACTTATAGGGCTTGTCATCGGCGCCAGGAAATCGCCATTCTTGAAGGTTTCAAAGAATTCGAGCGATTGACACAATCTGTAGGGGATTTTGCACGCGGTTGCAGGGGTGGAATGGTGAAAAGGGAGAGTTTGAGTTGAAGGTAAAGAGGAGTGTTGGGTTAGTGAATAAGAGCTCGGAGTATTTGAAGGACGAGTTGTTGATTCTTGGGTCTTGGTGGTTTGAGAAGAATAAGGGGATGTGGAGTGTTGTTATGTTTCTTAGTTATTCTTGGGTCTTGTGACATTTGTTGTTTATACGTGACATTTAGGTGTTGTATATGATATTTGGGTATTGTATGTAATATTTGGATGTTGCTTGTGATATTTATTGTTTATACATGACATTTGGGTGTTGTATGTGATATTTAGATGATGTATGTGATATTTGAGTGTTGCTTGTGACATTTGTTGTTTATACGTGACACATATCTGTAATTTGTGATATTTGGCTGTAATTTGTTGATAGTGAATGTGCTTATTTGTAACATGGTTATAATTTGTTTATACGTGACACATGGTTGTAATTTGTTGTATGTGATATTTAGATCTAATAGAGTAATTCCACATGTGTTTATTTGTCACATAATATGCTTATTTGTCACATGTGGAATGACTTTATTAGATGTGACTTATATCACATATAACCCATATAACATTGAAATATCGCATGATATGCTTATTTGTCACATGTGGAATGATTCTATTAGATGTAACTTATATCTGTTGTATATGATATTTGGGTGTTGCTTGTGGTCACATGTGGAATGATTCTATTAGATGTAACTTATATCTGTTGTATATGATATTTGGGTGTTGCTTGTGGTATTTGTTGTTTATACGTGACTCATGACCGTAATTTGTGATATTTGGCTGTAATTAGTTGATAGTGAATGTGTCACGTATAAACAACAAATATCACAAGCAACACCCAAATATCACATATCATCTAACCTTAAATAACTAAGAAACATAACAACACTCACAAATTGAATTCTAATTGGATCAAAATCATCCTTACAAAGGATTTTAACCCATCAAACAAAAATACATCAGGAAGTTACAATCCCAACCCACCATTCCATTTCCTTCGTAGAACCAATCTACAACAATGTGCAATACAAACAATGAACTCAAAACTCAAATTTAAAGCAAACAAATTTCCCTCTTCTTTTTGGGTGCACTAGATTAGGTACAAATCTTATGTCCTCTCCCTTTGCATATGATTTGAGCAGCAAGTTCTGTCCATAACATCTCACTCCATTTGCAAAGCTTCAATATTCATTGCCTCCATTCCTTCTAGGATCGTCTTGATAAAAAAATATGCATGTATGCCATAATTATATCTGTAAAAATATCACATAACACTTAAACTATAGCATATGTAACTAGTAACGAGAATATATTACACAGAATGTAAAAATATCACATAACAGTAGCATATGCCACACAAAATATCAAAATGTCACATAATAGCAGCATATGTTACACAAAATATCAAAAATATCACATAACATCAGCATATGTCACACATAATACCAAAATGTCACATAACAGCAGTATATGTCACACAGAATATCAAAATATCACATAACAGCAGCATATGTCACACAGAATACCAAAATGTTACATAATAGCAGCATATATCACACAGAATACCAAAATATTACATAATAACAACATAAGTCACAAAGAATACCAAAATATCACATAATAGCAGAATATATCACCTATAATGAGAATGCCACTATGGCACATGAAACCAGCATATGTGACATAAGCAAGTATCACATGAAACTTATGCCACTATGGCACATGAAACCAGCATATGTGACATAAGCAAGTATCACATGAAACTTACCAGCCTTTTTGCGATCGACAAGGAACTGCTTCATATGCGGTAATCAGAGAGGGTTTAAATTCAAGAATCTTTCTCTCTAAGTTTTCACAAAAAGAAAGTAGTAGGAAGTGAAAGACACAAAAATAATAAATAAATAAATAAATAAATAAATCAGGGGAAATGATCGATGAATATGAGCCAAGAAAAGAGTTTCCAGAGCGCGATTTTCTCCGCCAAACAATTCGCCGAAAATCCCCCAAACTATTTGCTCCCTATAAAAAACACCTCCCCAAACCGTTAACCCCTCCCCAAACCGTAACACCACTATTTATCCCATAATAAAAAATCAAGAAAAATAATGAGACTCTGATCCTCTTTTATTTTTGTGTTGATAAATTGTCAAATGAAGATATATGCATCAAAAGCTATACTAATCAGCTGCCTTCCTCCAGTATCTCCCTATGTTTTGATTTTCTATACAAGCCTCTACAATATTTTTCACTCATCAATTGTTTTCCAGCAGCATTTCCTCCTTCAGGTTGGCAACCAACTAATTACTCCCAAATCCATATTTAATATTCAAATAGAAATATCCACCAAAAATAAATTCACAAGCCATATAATTTCCTTTCGAAGAAACTTAAGCAAGGGACGCTTCCAAAGTCCCTAGAGAAGACACTAGGGTTTTTAATGAGACTCGTCGTTCAATCAATGACGCTCTCTGCATCGCCGTCAATGGTGGTCTCAAGATCTACGAGCAGCACCGTTTTAATCGTCCACTACCGGCGACGGATCATCACGATGAGGAAGAAGGCGGCGTTGCGGCGGTGTGACGCGGATCTGGTCGAGCTTCGATCTTGACGACGGAGAGGGCGTGAAGATGAGGGAGGAGTGGGCGATTCCGGCGGCGACGGCTCCGTCGCCGAAGGTGGCGGCGATGGAGGAGGAGATGTGAACGAGTTTTTATGAGATGGGGTTTTGGAGGAGTCCTTGGCAAAGGGGAGATGTGTAAAAGTAATTGGGAAGGGTAATTTAGGGATGAGTTTATTGGGTAGTGGGTTTGTACAGTGTTTGGGGGTTACTTGCACTCTTTTTTCAGTATAAGGGGTTGGGAGTTATGGTTTTTGGGCTGGGGAGGAGGATGCATGGCCCAAAAAAACTTGGTTCCTCAAAGCAATTTTCCCATAAAAAAAATATTCAGTCCGAATTACTGAATCCAAATAATAAATAAAACAATATTTAGTGTACCTCAAAAGTACAAAAAGAAAGTAAATTCTCTCTTTTTGAGTTAAAAAAGAAGGAAAAATTTTCAAAACAGACCTATTTGATTTTTTATTTGCAAAAAACGACACATTTTTAAAATATTTGTAAAAACCGACCTGGTTTCAGCCCTGACGCTGAAACCAGGTCGGTTTTTAAAAAGAAAGTTCTGAAACTTCACGGGACTTCAAGTCCCGTGAAGTTTGGCAGCCATTTAGTTAAACCACTAAACTTCATGGGACTTGAAGTCCCGTGAGGTTTCAAGGTTGAAAATGACTTCCGTGAAGTTTTCCCAATCATCATCTTCTGGAAAACGAACCCATCCAAATCAAACCCAAGCTCTCGTTCTAAAGAGTCACAACATAAAAAAAGGAAAGAAAAGAGCAGCTATATATACAAATCTTGTTGTATCCAACACAGCAACCAATCCGATCAAATTCCTGCATTTTTTCTCCGTCTCCTCCAATGGCGGATCCAGTCGAAGCCGCCTCCAGTCGAAGCTGCAGGCGGATCCAGTCGAAGCCCCAAGCAAGAAGGACTGTTTAAACCTGGGTTAAAAACTAAGTAGGATAAAAATCCTTTTGGAAGAACCTGGGATCTCTCAAGCGATTCCACATCCGATGCTTGGTTTATGGATAAAAATCCTTTTGGAAGAACCTAGGTTAAAAACTAATGAGAGGGATCTCTCTTCTATTTTCTTTTGTTTTTCTTTTTTTGGATTTATGGCAGCCCTCTTACGAATGAATTGGAGAAGAAGCAGAAGGAAGAGGAGAAGAGACTCAAAAAAGAGGAGAAGAAAAAGAAGATTTGTGTTCTAATCAGCCATCATCACCCCTTCATCATCCCAAAGCACCTGACCTCCGCCCAAACCCCCTCATCGTCCTCTACTCCGCCCAGACCTGCTCGTGAAGTTGAAAAAAATTGAGTTTTGAAACTTTTTTGAAAAAAACTAATCTACTCCCGTGAAGTTTAAAAATACACTAAACTTCACGGGAGTTGAACTCCCGTGAAGTTTCGAAAAATTTTTAACAGAAACCGACCTGGTTTCAGCGTCTGGGCTGAAATCAGGTCGGTTTTTACAAATATTTTAAAAGTAAGTCGATTTTTGCAAATAAAAAATCAAATAGGTCGGTTTTAAAAATTTGTCCTAAAAAAGAAAAAATAATTGCGGCCACCGTTTGCGTCTATATATATCCACCAACGGTGATCACACTCTTTCTACCCCTATAAAACGCCACCAACTTCTCCTCCTTCTTCAAACTTTCCCCCAAAAAAAGAGGGCCTTTTTTAGCTCTCCCATTCATCGCAAGCGCTAGCAATGGAGGTCCGCCGGAGATACCACCCGCCGCGCCGCCGCCGATCGCCGCTCCTCGTCCGGCGGATACCTCCGCCAAGGTCGACCCCAAGATCCAGGCCTCCGACGCCCTCCCTCTCCCAATTCGCCACACGAATCTCCTCTTCTCGTTCCTTTTCATGGCCTCTCTCTTCTTCCTCATGCGCCGGTGGCGCGAAAAGATCCGCACCTCCACCCCTCTGCATGTCGTCGGGTTCGTCGAGATCCTCTCCATTGTCTCCCTTGTTGCCTCCCTAATCTATCTCCTCTCCTTCGATGACGAAGAGGATAATCAACAGCAGAGCCAGCAGCAACAGAGATACCCTCCCCCTCCTCCTACTTGCCCTCTCCTGGTCGACGCCGCCGCCGGCGAGAAACCCAACGGTGGCATCTCAACAATCCCCGTCGAAGACGAAGAGATCATCGAATCCGTGGTCATGGGTAAGACCCCATCTTATTCATTGGAGTCCAAATTGGGAGACTGCAAACGCGCTGCAAGTGTTCGACGCGAGGCCTTAAGGAGAATAACCGGAAGGAATCTCAACGGTCTCCCTCTTGATGGGTTCGATTACGCCTCCATCCTCGGCCAGTGCTGCGAGATGCCGATTGGGTTCGTCGCATTGCCCGTTGGCATCGCGGGCCCGCTGGTTTTGGATGGGAGGACCTACTATGTGCCGATGGCCACGACCGAAGGGTGTTTGGTTGCGAGCACGAACAGAGGGTGCAAGGCCATCGGGGAGTCAGGTGGGGCCCAGAGTGTTGTGCTTAGGGATGGGATGACGAGGGCCCCGGCGGTGAGGTTTGGGACGGCGGCGAGGGCGGCTGAGCTTAAGTTCTTCTTGGAGGACCCGGCCAATTTTGACACGCTTGCTATTGTTTTCAACAGGTATGCTGACTAAAATTTGGCTTTTTGGCTTTTAGAGTTTTGTTGCTGGGTTTGGAATTTTAGCTTAGTTGTCCCTTTATTGCATCAGTTTTTTGGGATTAGCAGTTTGATTGGTACGTGTTGAACCATGTGAGATTGTTCATTAGGTTGACCGGCATGCAGAAATTTCAGTTTTATTTTGTGGAAATTTGGTGTTTTCTTAACTTTCAGGGTTTACTTTTTTCCTGAATGCGATGGGATGAGGTGACTGGCTTTTGGCTGTTTGTTGGTTTTCCTTTTCTTGCTTTCCCAGACCATTGTTTTGATGTTATGCATGATGATAAATATAGGTTTGCTTAACATAGAAGTTACAAGTTGTTTTGCTTCTAGATCATAGAACAGAGGATATTTTCCTGCTAACTGAAAACCTTGGGTGTTATATAATAAATGAATGGCTTTGGATGTTTATTTTTCCATGGTTCTCATTATTTGCTTGGTTAAAAAGCTGAATGCTTTTTTGGTTTGATGTTTCAGATCGAGCAGGTTTGGTAGGCTTCAAGGGATTAAATGCTCGCTTGCGGGGAGAAATCTGTACATGAGGTTCAGTTGCAGCACTGGAGACGCAATGGGAATGAACATGGTGTCCAAAGGCGTGCAGAACGTCTTGGACTACCTTCAGACTGATTTCTCCGACATGGATGTCATTAGTATATCTGGTTAGATCTGTTTTTTTAATCCCCCGATTTTGTTCAGTTTTTTATGTTATTATCTTTTTTTCCTACTATCTTATAAAGAATTTGTACTGCTAGGTTTTGTTCCAAATACGATACTTTGAGTTTAGTTCATCAACTAGTTACGGGATTAGTGACAACTGTACTGAACGTCGCCATCCGCTTAAGATATGTATTGTTGTTGGTATAGTTCTGAAAGTATGTATTAAAGCTATATATCTCCTCATCTGTAAAATTGAGATCTTCATTTGTCTGCTCTTTTGCAGCAAAGGATTTGTTAGAATGCTAGATTTTGTTCCACGTACGATCATTTGAGTTTAGCTCACCTACTAGTTACGAGATTAATGGCAACTGTATCAAACGTCACTATCCGCTTAAGATATTTATTGTTGCTAGTAGAATACTGAAAGGAAACATTAAAGCTATATATCTCCTCATCTGTAAAATTGAGATTTTCATTCGTCTGCTCTTTTGCAACACGTTGATAGGTAGAGAAAACTGTTTCCATGTTGCACGCCTCAGAAGCAAGCAACGAGAAATTCCACCTTTATTGAGAATAATTAGATTTCCAATTTTATTTATGAGAAAACAAAAAGACCAGAAAACAAAAAGACCAGAAAACAAAAAGACCCTAGTTATTGCACTTCATGGAATTAACATTTATCAAATTATTAATGATTTATATAGGTTAATTTTATACTTGTGGTTTATCAAATATGCGTCCATTTCATCCGGATTATACCTCTTTAGCTGACTTTGAAGTTTTTTTTTAATTAAAACTACTACGTCTTATTATCTGCTCCTATGAAGCCAGGTTGATCCAATAAAGTTTGACATGTGGGGATTGATTAATCATTTTCTTGTTGCTCTTTCTAAGGGCTTCCAAACCTGTCGATTATAGGGGTATTCTTTATGTTGCCTTGTTTAGAGAATCACAATATTTGATTACAAAGGTTCCTATCATAACCAATATTATTTACTCCTTGCTGTAAACTTTGTGAAAACATCTCTATGCCTAAAGTTTTAGATCCGAAACCCATCTAAGCAAACCCACTGGGGTAAAGATCAAGTTTCACTTTTTGTTTCCTTATGTATTCAACAGGTAATTTCTGTTCTGATAAGAAGCCCGCTGCTGTGAATTGGATTGAAGGGAGAGGGAAGTCAGTGGTATGTGAGGCAATAATCAAGGAGGAAGTCGTGAAAAAGGTTCTGAAAACCTCTGTATCTGCTCTGGTCGAGCTGAACATGATCAAGAATCTCGCTGGATCAGCTGTGGCCGGAGCTCTGGGGGGTTTCAATGCTCATGCTAGCAACATTGTGTCTGCTGTTTTCATCGCTACCGGTCAAGATCCTGCACAGAATGTGGAGAGCTCTCACTGCATTACAATGATGGAAGCTGTGAATGATGGAAAGGATCTTCACATCTCTGTCACCATGCCTTCCATTGAGGTAAATTCTCTTTTGTCTTGAAAAGTCAAATCATATTATGCTTTTATTTGTGTTAATCACCTAACTTTGGATCTTCAAATCTGCTTAATCAATTCTATTACCCATTTGAAATTGGAAAAGACTGAGCTAAGTTGATGAATAATTTCCAGCTTGAAACCCCTGTAGTTCCTTAGAAACATTGAAGAATGAATCCTAGTTCTTGGAGAAGAAGAACTAACCCAAATTGTTAGATTATTTAATGATTTCTTTATTTTTTTGAATAATTTAATGCATGTGTAGTTGTCTCTGTTCACTGGGTAGCAGGTGCAGCTAACCAAAAAGCTACTTACTCTTGGATCAGATCAAAATAGGCCTTTGATGTATTCACTATCCAGTAGACAGGAAGGATCTGATATAGTTTATGTTAAATTAAGATAGTTTCATGTGCACATATTCTAACCTTTATTGATGGCTACTAAACATCAATCTAACAACAAATTAAGATCCATCTACATGCCTGTCTCACTATATGAGGCCTTAATCAATTTTTTTTCTTCAGTTTATGTTATATTCTTACTCATGACCTCGTCAAGTTGGGTTTGGTAGCCACATGACGAGTAACACATCTTCATTAAAACAATTTTCTAAGTAAAACAAAAAAATATATATCTTTTCAATTTTATTTAATATTTTAATCAAACTTCTAAATACATAGGGCTGGCAAACACCCTGTTTCAAACCGAGCTTGTTACTTAAAAACCGACCTAAGTTTCAGCTCACCATGCCCACGTGGCTTAAAGTGAGTCGATTTTCATAAGTAAAAAAAAAAGCGGGTCGTAGATAAGTATTATTATAATAAAGGAATTTTTTGGGGGGAAAAGAATTTGTGGTGGCTGACTATTCTTGCGTGATTGTTCTTTTTTGCTAATGGGTGATATGCATACAGGTGGGTACAGTTGGAGGTGGGACCCAGTTGGCATCCCAGTCAGCGTGCTTGGACCTATTAGGTGTGAAGGGTGCAAGCCTCGAGTCCCCTGGGTCAAATGCAAGGCTCCTGGCCACCATCGTAGCTGGCTCAGTCCTGGCTGGTGAGCTCTCCCTCATGTCTGCGCTTGCTGCCGGCCAGCTTGTCAGGAGCCACATGAAATACAACAGGTCCTCCAGAGACATGACCAAAGCTGCTGCTTCCTAAAACAAAATAATGATAAGAAACCCCCCATGTGTGTAATTAGGGTTTGAGAGAAAGAGGACGCTGTAGTGCATGGTTAGGGGTGAAGATTTAGACAGCAGGCAAGCAGCAGAGCGTTTGTTGTTGTTGTTGTTGTTGTCGGTAGGGTCTTTTTCCCGTCATGTGGTTTATTTTTGGTACTCTTTTGTGGAAGTTGAATGGTTGTGGCAGCGTTTGGCTGGCCATTTGTCCAATAGCGGGGGATTCTCATATTTTTCTTTTGTGAGTGGGGTTGTTTTCTCTGTGTCTAAGGATCTTTGGCATGCGCGTATGGCCCTGGGGAGAGCAAAAGGCATGTGAATGGATTCTCTTGTTGTTACCGTGGTAAGAATAAAATTCTCTCTTTGTGAGTGATCTGGAAGTTATCGGAGCTGCAGATTACAATAAATTATCGCCTGGTTCGTTGCATGAAGAATTCAGAATCTTGTATGTTCCGTAGTTTCATGTTCGTGCTTGATTGTGGTGGAGTTGTCTTCTTCCTAAACGACAAAAGCCAGATGAGAGAAGCGAGTATTTGCAAATTTTGGGATTTACTGTCCATTCTTCTTTACCTGGTCTATGGACTAGTTGGTTGCTAGAAAATTATAATCGTAGTTGTAGTTATAGTTATACTTAAAACCGAGGGTAAATTGCACTAAACTCCTACGAACTTTTAGTATTTTGCAACACTTTCGTATGAACTTTTAAAATCACACTAAATCCCCAGTAACTCTTTTGCTTTGTAGAAAACCCCCGATAAGTTTCTGCATTTTGTAGATAACCCCATAAGTTATAACTAGAAAACAACATAAAAAGGCACTTGAAAGTTATTTTGGAGATAGTGTAATTAATTCAAAGATATTGGGATTTTCTGCAAAAGTTATTCGGGGTTTAGTGTGAATTTGAAAGTTCTACAAAGGACTAAAAAGTTTATGGGGTTCAGTGTAATTTACCCTAAAAATTATCAGGAAATAAAAAGTACAATGATGACACATTTTTGCTAAGGGGGTGTTTGTTTCAATTTTTTTGGGATATAGGGTGGATTTCAAGTTTTGGGATGTAAAAAGTGTTTTTTTTGAGTTTTGGTATTCCATAAACTTTGTTTGTTTCACTTTTTTTTTGGGATATTGAATCCCTAAATTATAAAAAATTAATATATTTTTAGGATTTATGGATTTCAAATTCTATGATGAAATCCATATCCATAAATTTTGGGATACAAAACAAACACCCCCTAAACGAACTGTCAAAAAATAGGCAAATGATGAGCTCTTGTGGATGGGCCCTCCATCTTTTCCCTCTTGGTAGCTCGTGTAAGGAGTTGAATGTTGTGCGCGGCACGGAAGCGGTCGAATCACACAATCCAAACAAGAGAGATCACAACCAAATAAACAAGCACAATCACCAATTAACACAAGAGATTTACTCGGCAAGTTGCCTACGTCCATGGGGCAAGGAGGAGGGGAGGGGGGGGTTCTTACTATAAGAAATCAAGAGAATACAAATAGAGTTACAAATCTCTCAGATCAAACCCTAAAACAAAGCTCTAGATCTCTCACAACTCTCCCACAATTGGATGCAACAATTCTCTCTTAAAGGCTGCTCAAAATCGTCCTTNAAATCCTTTACAGTCATTCGCGGTCGACTGTGACGGTCGACCGCCACCAACTCCGAATCCCAGTAGGCTTCGTGCACGTTGGCGGTCGACCGCGGCGGTCGACCGCCAGACTTTCTGGCTGATTTCTTTGCTGTTTCCTGTAATTCTTCATTGAACTCCTACCTCATAAATATAAAATTCGTATCATAATTCTATCTATTAAAATTTGCTTTTGGACTATATAGTTCTACAATTATAGAGGGGAAAAAAACACAATTATGGTTACTCCTACCAGTTCCTGAGTGCAAGCCCAAACAACATTCAGGCTCAAGTTTCAACACAAAATGTCAGTCCTTCTTTCAATTGGTGCACCCATGTGACATTACAGTCCAAATAGAATCTCTTCGACATTCCCATATGACAGACATAATTAGACGCAATTAGTTTTTCTTACTGTAAGCGTCTAAAAATGCCTATAGGTATCCGCACACAGCTCGAGACAAAGAGAAGATGATGAACGTCATTATCCAAATCGAAGAGGATTTTCCGAGTCAAAGAGGATCGTCTGACGCAGACAAGGGCATGAAGCAAATCAGCGAACCGTCGATGAGTGGCGACGAACTACCGGAACAACCAACGCCAAGTGGCCCGCGTGCTCACCGGCCACCGCCAAGTGGCCCGCAAGCTCATCGGCCACCAGAATGACAAACCAAGTGGCTCGTACACTCACCGGCCACCGCCAAGTGGCCCGCACGCAGCTCCAAGTGGCCCGCACGCTCATCGACCACCAAAACAGCAAAACGACTAGCCCGTGTGCTCCCCGGCCCCCTCCAAGTGGCCCGCGCACTCGTTAGCCAGCTCCAAATGGCCCACGTGCTCACCGGCCATCGAAACGACGAACCAAGTGGCTTGCAAGCCCGTCGGCCACCGTCAAGTGACCCGCACGTTCACGAAACGCATGAAGCGAATCGGTGAAGCGCACAAGTCAACAAAACGACGGAATGCACGTAGAAGGACAAAACAAGTCCGGACCGAACAAACCAAGAAAGCCCCTGGCTGCCGAGTCGCGTGAAAACGATTCAGCCAGGCCAGTGCCTCGGCCATAGTCGAGCGACCAAATGGTGGTTCGCGCCTGAACCAAACCGGTTCGGTTCGTTTTGCACCCGGTTAGGCTAGTTTTGAGCTAAAAACATGTTTTGATGGTTTTCGACAAGTTTTCACGGGATTTCTTCTATTCCAGAGGTTCCTAACTGCCTAGATATCATCTCTAAACGTGGTTACACGGTTGTCAACTAAGGATAAGGCAAAATCCATCGTTCTTATCCGAAAACCCCCAACCGAAGCCTATAAATACAGGCATATGAGGCTCATTTCACAGGGGCGGAGATCAAGAGGGCAAGGTGCTGCCAAATTAGAGAGTGGAGCACGAATTTCAGAGGGTTATCAGATCTTGGCGAAGTTCCTCAATAAAAAAAAGAGAGTTCGAGAGATCTGAGACCTGTTTCCCCCCATTCCTCCGGATTTAAGCTTGGTCTTAATCCCGAGAAAAGTTGTAATCTCGCTTGATCGGGATTACCACTTCTGCGAATACTTCCTTCGTGAAGTAGGAGCTTTGATTATGAATTTGTCAACCGGATCTGATCCGTGACGGTCCACGGATATCAACGTCCCCGGCACAGGCGAAGTTCCCACGCAAACAACAGGAGATAAACTGCTGTTGTGTGTAGTTTGACAAGAGTTGTAATATTTTATTTTTATTATATAAGGAGATCTTATAAAAAGATCGATTTTCTTCTTTTTCGAACTTGTAATCGATAAATAATTGTAATAAGTTCGTTGGCAATGAAATCAACTTTTAACACAAACACACTGGCGACCATAGTGGGAGCCAACAGCTTCGTTACCGAAGCTTTCGTGTCGCAACCATGGATCCGGATCCCGATTGACGAAGAGGTCGAGTATGAGTTCGACCAACTAAAATTCGAGGAGTATCTGTCGTCCTCCTCCTCCAGATCCTCCGCCCCCACAAGCGCAGGAAGTTCAAGGCCCCCGTTGCTATTGCCATCTTGCCTTGCACCGCCCCTCTGGCCTTCAACGAGGCCGGATCTGCAGACCTGGACTCCTCCTCAATCAAGGAGATAGCCACTAGAGGTGCGTGAAATTCATCAAAGAGAGCTCGCCAAAGGCAGCGCCAACGCATCGCGCGCTAGCTGGCCAAAGCTTTAGAGCCAGTTGATGGAATATGTTATGATGCGGATCTGAAATCTAGAATGTGCCAAGCATCGCAATAGCGAGCAGGAGACTCCTCCTCCAAGCCAGCGATGAATGAATGGGTCCGCGTCAAAAGGACGCGTTCAACCCTTGAAGAACGGATCCAGAAACACCATGCGTTACTCGTCATGGGTGGATTTTCATGCAAGAAGCACAGAAGCTGAAGCAGGAAGAGGTTGTCAAGAAGCCACCAAAACTTTGCCAAGTCTGGAAGCCAAAGTCCGAAACGACGTTGAAAAAAAGTCGAACAACGCCCGAAACTCGCGAACCATCTCTGGCTGGCTCGGCCCAAACCGAGCCACCAAATAGTGGTTCGCACCTGAGCCGAACCGGTTTGGTTTATTTTACATCCGGTTCACCTCCTGCAGTCTCGTTTAAGCCTCCGACAGCCCCTGTTCCTGTCCCAATGAATCACGCACCTCCGGTAGAGTCCCACGGCTACGTGAACCTGTTCCGATTCAAGTTGAGGATGGAGGATCACCTGGGTCCTTTGCACGAGGATCGAGATAAAGTTTTGATCAAAGAACGCTTGGGTCCGGTGACTGAACCTTGAGCAACTACTCGAGCTAGGGGTCGCACTCGCCCTCACAACAAGTCTGAGCCTTTTCATAAAGAGAAAACTGTTGGGTCCTTTTATTTTGATGATGATTTACAAACAATTTATATCTAATATTATTTGTTTAGTATTTGTGTTTTGTATCTATTCTAGGCAAACAATACGTTGGAGGTTGGATGGAATCGAGCTTTCACGATCATATCCAATGGAGGTTGGCGGAATAGTGGAGTGAAGCAATGCAATTCAAGTTGAAGATCCAAGTTCAAGGTTCATCCACAAGTTTACCAAGTCGAGCTATATTGAAGACCTTCAAGCTTGGGTTTATAGTTTATAGTATTTGTAGTATTGGTTTATACTTGTGTGTTAATACTTTAAGCTCATATTATTCACACACACTGTAGGTTTTATCAAAATATAGGTGTTTTTGATAAAATATTGTTTTATTAGTTTATAGACTTCAATATCACTTTATACATAGTTTATTAAGTCTATAAAATTATTTTATAAAGTTTCAAAACATGGTTTATGTCAAAACATTAAATTTCAAGTATATTAAGTTTGCATGTTTTGAACATTTTTGTAAAATGACAAGTTTT